ATATTTGCTTGATATAAGAGTTTTAGAGTCCATATCTTGAAAATAAGCGTGCAGCTGAGGTCACATTATTGAAACGAACGATACCGAGTTTGTAGAACTAAGATTGAAAGTCTAGAAAAGAAATATTTCTACCGAATAGAAAATACGTGTATACAGGTGCTTTGTGAAGACTGGAATTGTCAACAGAGCCGAAATTCCGTGTAGCAGTAGTTGCGCGGTCTTGCGATAGATGGTGCTGACATATGTTAGATAAGAACAGATGCATGCGTTTGAGTAAGACAGAATGATATATATTAAGATAATGTAGAAATTAAATCAAAGATGTCACCACTATTATCGAATTTGGAATTAAAAAAGTCTGTACTATCGATCTTGATCGAGTTAGGTAATCGGTTTAGTATCCCCTTATCTATTCTTTACGGACCTTTAAATATGCAATTCCATCGAAAACCTGGCCTTTGTGAACCTAGCAGCCGACTTTTTATAAATTAAATTTTTTTTATAAAAAAAATAATAGTATTTCGTTTGTAGTTTGCTAATTTTTGAGATATCTCTAATTCGTTTGCGACATCTTCCTTAGAATCGTTTGTAGTTGTTTGTAGCTATTTGCTGGTCGTTTGTAGTTGCCCGCTTAAAAGTTACACCAAAGTTACGTAATTTGTTTATTGTAAATTTGCTATAACTTTTAAACGGTGCAACTACAAACGACTGGAAAATCACTACAAATAACTACAAACGGTTCTGAATCAAGATATATTAACAATTTTTTTTACCTTAAACTCAGGTGTCATTAAAAAAAATATATATATTTTTTATTATATGAAACTACAAACGAAACTATTGTTACTACAAACAACTACAAACGAAATACTATCATTTTTTATAAAAAATTTAATTTATAGAAAGTCGGGTGTCAGGTTCACGAAGGTGAAAACCTGCGATAAAAATGCATTATAATATAATTAAAATCTTAATTTTTTTTTAGATATATTGCCATAATAAACTATATACTTAACGTGCTTATTCCATTTAATATTTGTTTAGATTTTACTTACTTTTTAAAAAAATATGATTAAATCTAGATCCATAATGTTTTTAAATGGCAATATAAATCGGAAAACAATGTACAATATATTGTTGATAATACTGATAGAGATATATAAACACCCCAGGTGATTGTTTACATAAAAGAATGAGTTGATTCGGGTTAAAGAAATGCATTTTAATTTAAGAGGTTTTTGAATAAATATTTAAATGCGCCAAATCATTATTACATAGAACGAAACACGGTGAGATAAGACAGAGAAGTCTTCACAACCTTTAAGAAATAAAAGTTTTTTCGGTAAACTGCGATTATAACAACAAAAATTAAAATACAGTAATGTGTTCATTAAAATATAGTTATATGTTTACCGTGGCAAAATTATCGATGGATAGAATCATTAGTTTACCAGCTGTTATTTTGCAAGGTATTGCTGTTCTATACATCATTAGGAGCAGAAGTTTTCGACATCTTTGCGAAGTGTAATACCAATTCGCCCTGCAGCTATTATATGAAATAAGAAAAATTAAAATTAAAATGATTAACTGATTTAATCTAGCAAGTATTTATAATTTATATTAGGTTTTTATCTTATTACCCAACACAGAAAGTTAAAAAAATCTGTTTTTTATTCGTCTTGTGTATGTTACATATAAAGGATCAATTGTAGTAATATTATAATTAAAGTAGAATTATTAATGCGCAATTTTATTTATAGCAATTGTAAATAATTTGTTCAAAATATAAAATAAATCATACACTTTTATTTAAGTTCTCTAGGGCTTAGAAAAAAAAATGAGGTAATTAGACTATTGAATTGAATAAATTTGCATTCTTACATAGATTCGTATGGAAGGATGCTGTAATCTAGTAGAAATTGACCTTGCCAGAAGTGAAGAAACAAATGAATGAGTTGTCCAAAATACATACTAATAGGTGCGACGATGTCATTCGTGTTCTTGTCAAGATTTATCAACATCTAAAATGCATATTTATTACAATTACTGTCCACACTTCTTTCGGCTATCGCACTATAGCTGTTCGAAATATTGAATCGCGGTTATTAAAGGCGATGAAAACTAAAAATGGTATTATTTTTTTCAATTTTGTTTTTTCATCTTCGCGAAAATTCTCATCTCATTCCATTTCAGTCTATACCAACAGTATTTATAACGTAAAAAGGAAAAACTGATACGTACTTGTATACCATATAAACTGCCAATAACCATGTTAAAGTTAAGATTTATCAGAAATATCTTCGTATATACAGATTCAATATGTTCCGCAAATCTGCGAAATGAGAACACTAAATAATTATAATTAATATGAAGTATCGCACAATGGCAAAAATAGGTGTCATTACTTGATATTTCTTCATACGTACTCTATTACACCGAGATGTCTACGTAAACAGCGTAAAGTTTTATAATAATTGTAGTCTTTAGTTTTATTTGATTTTGCGTCAAACTCGTTCGTGTCATTTTTTCCAATGTTTTCCAGTACATTTCTGTAAAGTCAAGAAAAATATCGATGCTTTTGAAAAACTTAGATTTTATAAGTTGTCGAAGAAATAAACAGAAATTTATGAAGAACAATGTTATCTTTTCATAATCAAGAGAGATCGTTTTTACCCAATAATGGAGAACATTCCACAAGCATGTTGAATGAGGGTATAATACAAAGCATCAGCCACGACTGTGGCAAACGAATGAGCGACTACGGCCACATAACTATGCACTGCTATTGGATATATATACTGATTGAATTTCTTGCCATATTCCACGCGGAAGGGTAATCTCGACTCGAATGGAATGGAAGATTTCGTTATATTGATGATATCATCCGCCATCAGAGTCAGCATGATTGGTTTCACCACGAAAAGGCTCGCCGTCGTATGCATTAAAACTATATTCGTCGCAAAATTTTAAAATCATTATACATTCATTGATATGTTTAAAATAAAAAGATCGATTTTTCGCGATAAGCATGTTCTTTATGCAATTTTTTATAAAATTTAGTGACAATGCTGTAAGATTGCAAGGAATATGATCTAGAATACACACTTACGTATATGTGTGCGTTCAAGATATAATATTTATTTTAGTTTTTACAATCTTGAAATTATCCATACCTGCATAAAATGTCGCTAGATGCTGTCCATACTTACTATGCCGTTCCAGAATTTCCTTTTCTACTGAATTTACTGATTGCCAGTCCTTTTGTATTACATTAAGACAAATCTTTACCTAAACACATGTTCACGTATTTCTTGCTAATATAACATTTTTTCATATAAAAGTCAAGTGTTAATGCAAGTTTGTAAAATTTATTACTTACTTTCTCGCTATTTAACATTATAAACAACAGTTTAGAGCTGAATGATATACTGATGAATATTGATGGCACACATTCAAACACATCATCGAGAGTGATCGAGCCGATTAGTAAATAAAGTACCTGTATTAGAGTTAAACGCAATCACGAAATTCATAAAGTAATCGTTTTTTTTAAAGATTTAAAAGCCTATGTACATTGTACACATATATTTATTTTTTTATAATTTTCCAAAACCATTTAAAATTTTCATTCTTCTGATAAATTATATCAAAATTTATTAACAGTCTATTTTTCCATCTTTCTTGTTCGAATCTTATTAAAGTTATACCTTTTAAAAATTTAATATAATTTGACATACGTATGCGTAAGCGTATGTGTGTGTAATTTTCACATAGTTTGATGAATAACTGTATATTAAACTTCTAGTCGTATAAAAAAAAACATGCAATCAGTAATTCTGCAGCGTACTAAACAGATGATAGACTTTTCTTTGGCAAACCTTTCGATAGATATACCTGAGGTATCAGAATAGTAAAGCTAAACCCAAACAACGGCACGAAGCGAATATATCTATCGCGAAGTCTGTGATATGGCCATAATCCTGAAATAGTCAAATAGAATCTAACAACGCTATAGTATCGACTTTGTGCACTGTGGTCTTTCTTCTCAATCATTTTTCGGAATAAGAAGATTGCGAAATATCAACTATTCCATTTGTACTTTATTCCATTCAACGTTCAATTTTCAACAAATTATGTAAGATTACTTATTGATTTCTTCCATTCAGCAACAGCATAGTAATTGCGCTGAGGAATATACGGACAATTACCTGGTGTGTTTCAATCCTTTCCCTTTTACATTTTTAAAGCGGTTACTTATCGTTCTCTTTGAAGAGACATTTTATTTTAATTTCATATTCTGTATGTTATGGTTTTCTTAGAAATCTCGTCTTAGGAAAGATGCAACTTTGTACTGCTTTAGGGAAAGCTGTATATACCTGTGTTAGAGAAAGTAAATAGCAGAAGTGATAAATGACACACGTGAAAATATGATATATTATTAGTTTAATATAATTTAATAGAGCCTAATTTATACAAACTACGACATTTATTTACCTTTAATTTAAATAAAGTTGACGAATGTAACGTTAATAAAATGTGAATTGTAGAATTCATATATAATTTTCGAATTGCCTCTTTGTACCTTCACTGTTAATTAGGAAGATAAATTTTCCAAAATACCTGATCGGTTGATTACATGTAGTTTACGCCGATAAACAATTAACTTACATACTTATGTAAAGTTACATGGGCCAAAAATTGTTAGAGAAGAGTGGACTTCTTCGACAAACATTTATAAGTAAACTTCTAGATATTGTGGAAAAAAATGGTAAGTATGTTTGTGTGGAAGCAAAAGATGATACTTAATTATTGTATAATGAAATACATGCATACGATTATATTAATATGTATATATCTATATTTTGGTTGCTATAAAATCGAAGAAAAATATCAGAAATTATAAAGAAAAAAAGAAAAGTACATATAATACATAAAATTTTTATTACATTAAAGAGATATATTTTAATTTAAACAATTTTGATGATTCATACGTCAAATCATCACTGGAGAGAACGAAACATAGTGAGATAAGATAGAGACGTTTTTACAACCTTTAAGAAATAAAAAATCCTTCGATAAGCTACAATTACAACAATATAATTTGTAGACGTAACAATACAATTTTACACTTACCGTAGCGAAGCTTTCAATAGATAAAATCACTATTTTTCCGGCGGTGATTTTGCATGGTGACGTCGTTCTATTCATAATTAGAAGAAGAAGTTTTCGACATCTGTGCGAAGCATAATACCAATTCGCCCTGCAGCTATTATTTGAAATAAGATAAATATATAAATTAAAATGATAAATAATAATAAACTTTTATATACTAATAATAAAACCAAATGTATAATATTAGGTCTTTATTTTGATATTCAACACTGAAAGCTGTAATCTATCTTTTGATTTGTATAGAGTAAACTTGATTAAGATGGTCATACGGAAAAGATGACCATAAGCTTTTAGAATAATTACAAAAATATTCTATTTAGCAATTATTGGCTAAAGTACAGCCCATGGTCATTTTTTTCTGTATCGTCATAATACCCGAGTAATTGTATATTACACATGAAGGAATTGCAATCAGAATTAAAATAACTGTTACTGTGCGATTATTTATAATAATAATTATAAATAATACGCCAAATAATAATTATAAATAATACGCCAAAAATCATACGTTTTGATACACTTCGCTTGGGGGCGCACGACTTTCACCTGAAGTGACTCCCACCTCACCTCCCCCCCTGCTTGGGGGCGCATGATTTTCATCTGAAGCGACTCCC